GTAGCAGTGATGATATGACATCACCGAACCGGTTCTGCCCCCCTGCCCCCCCGCATTATTCTTACCTTTTTTTGGCCCCGCCCCCAATCTATTGCTGGCTCCTGAGTCCCAGCTGATCAGCTAGAAGGAAAAAAAACTGTTTAAACTCTTGCTGCGGGGCTTCGAAGGGCTGCCCTACAGCTGATCAGTTAAAAGAAAACAAATGAGTAGACCAGTGCCTGCAAAAATACACGAGTAGATCAGTGCCTGCAAAAATAAATGGATAGACCAGTGCCTGCAAAAATACACGAGTAGATCAGTGCCTGCAAAAATACATGAGTAGACCAGTGCCTGAAAAAATACATGAGTAGATCAGTGCCTGCAAAAATAAGTGGGTAGACCAGTGCCTGCAAAAATACATGAGTAGACCAGTGCCTGCAAATACATGAGTAGATCAGTGCCTGCAAAAATACATGGGTAGACCAGTGCCTGCAAAAATACATGAGTAGATCAGTGCCTGCAAAAATACATGGGTAGACCAGTGCCTGCAAAAATAAGTGGGTAGACCAGTGCCTGCAAAAATACATGAGTAGACCAGTGCCTGCAAAAATACATGAGTAGATCAGTGCCTGCAAAAATAATGGGTAGACCAGTGCCTGCAAAAATAAGTGGGTAGACCAGTGCCTGCAAAAATACATGAGTAGACCAGTGCCTGCAAAATACATGAGTAGATCAGTGCCTGCAAAAATACATGGGTAGATCAGTGCCTGCAAAAAATACATGAGTAGACCGGTAGACCAGCTCTGCAAACAGTTAAAAGCCTGGTAGACCAGTACCTCTGCTAAATCCTAAAGAATTGTCACATGACCATCAAGCCACGCCCACAAAATAAGCCACGCCCACAGAACCGGTAGTAAAAAATTTTTAGAACCCACCCCTGGCTGAAACCAGAAGTTCAGTAGCTGAAACTGGAAGTTTATTTTCAGGGGTTGCGGTCCAGGTGCCCGGGAGCGAAGCGCGAACGTGCACAAGCTCTCCCTTTTCGGCACTCGGTGTCAAAAATGTTCGCCATCACTGTTATAGAGCCATGATGGCGAACCTATGGCACGCGTGCCACATGTGGCATGTGGAGCTGTATCTGTGGGCACGCGAGTGCTGCCCTAGCTCAGCTCCAACGCACATGTGTGCGCCAGCCAGCTGATTTTCGGGCCTTCCGGGCCCGCCAGAAGTTGGGAAACAGACCATTTCCTGCCTCCAGAGGGCCTCTGGGGGGGCGGGGAGGACGTTTTCACCCTCCCCAGGCTCCAAGGAAGCCTCTGGAGCCTGGGGAGGGTGAAAAACATCCCTCCGGGCCCACCGGTAATCTTTTTGCCGTTGCGTGCCAAAAGCATGGGGAGCGTGGGGGAGTCGCGCACGCATGTGCAGGGGGGCGAGGGGATTGAATTACAGGTATGGACACACGCACGCACGACACCCCACTCCCCCGTGGTCCCCCCGCTTTTGGCCCGCGACGGCAAAAGGGTTCGCCATCACTGTTATAGAGGATTCTAAGAATCGTTGTAAATTTTGCTATGGGTCGGAGAGGGCAGGTAAATGTACCTAGAATATAGAACATAGAATAATAGAATTGGAATCTCCAAACTTTCCTAAGAGGCCCTGCTGGGCAATGTTTCTCTTACTAACTTGCCTATCATGATGGATGTTATTGAGCAGTGTTTCTCAACCTTGGTAGCTTGAAGGTGGGTGGACTTCAACTCCCAGAATCCCCCAGCCAGCAACGCTGGCTGGGGGATTCTGGGAGTTGAAGTCCACCCATCTTCAAGCTTCCAAGGTTGAGAAACACTGTTATTGAGGGACGTTCTTGGATTTAGTTCAAAAACCCCACTCCAACCCTTGGCTTCCATGGCTGTGGCTATTTTGACTGGAGCTTATGGGAGCTGTAGTCCAAGATCCTCTGAAGACATCCAGCTGTCCTTGCTCAGGTAGCCCGGGAGACATGCTGCCAAGCAGTGAATTTTTTTATTTTTTAAAAAAGAGTCAGTCTTGGCTGCAGCATGGCGTTGTACAGGACTCGGGCCAATAAATCATCTACAAAGCTTTCTGTGTTTGCAGCTTTCACATTTTTATCAAAGTCTAATGGCTTGTGCTATTTCTTCTCTCGTACTCCCACTTCATTCCCTTCACAAAAGAAGTTAGGCCTGCAAGCTTTAAATCAGCTTTATTAGGGTTTTTATTTTATTTTTTTTCATCCCTGCATTCCCTTTACTGGAGAGAAGCTCATTTAACATAATGGCTCTTAACTTCTGAGCAAATATACCTCCTAAACGAGACGAAGGGAACGAACTCTCCTTTGAGCAAGTTGCAGAAGATAATAGCCATAGGCACGTAGCTCCCGATTTCCAACGATTTGCAAACAAAGATTATTTCTTGGTGATTCCCTCCATTATTATATGCTGGGGGAAAGTTCCCCCAAGGATACTGTACAACTTTGACTTTACACTCATTCTTTTAGTGACTTACGGCTTTTCCACACTTACAACCGTTGCACCAGTGGTGAAATGTAAAATTTGTTACTACCGGTTCTGTGGGCGTGGCTTGGTGGTGGTGGGTAATATGAGGGAGTGGCCGTGGCCAACTTTTTTTTAAAAAAAAACTTTTAAAACCATTTTTTCTACAACCTCTTCGGCTGAAGAGGTTGTAAAAAAAAAATGCTTTTAAACCCTCTGACGATCCCAGCTGACTTGCCTGATCGGCAGAGGCTTTTTTCTCTTTTAAAAACATTTTTTTCTACAACCTCTTCCGCTGAAGAGGTTGCAGAAAAAAATGCTTTTAAAAGCCTCTGATGGTCCCGGCTGAGCTGCGTGGTCATCCGGGGGTTTTTTTTTTTTTTTACTTTTAAAAGCATTTTTTCGGCCAAAGAGGTTGTAGAAAAAATGCTTTTAAAAATAATTTAAAAAAAGCCTCTGATGATTGCACGGCTCATCTGGGATCATCAGAGGCTTTTAAAGGCGGGGGGGGGGGGGGCAGGGATTTTTTCTTTTCTTTTATTTGATTTATATGCCGCCCTTCTCCGGAGACTCAGGGCGGCTTACAGTGCGTTAAGCAACAGCCTTCATCCTTTTGTATATTTATACAAAGTCAGCTTATTGCCCCCACAAACTGGGTCCTCAATTTACCTACCTTAGAAAGGATGGAAGGCTGAGTCAACCTTGAGCCTTGGCAAGATTCGAACCTGCAGTAATTGCAGGCAGCTGGTCTTAATAACAGGGTGCTTTAGACCACTGTACTACCAAGGCTCATTTGGTAGTACAGAGCTCAGGAGGGCGTGTGGCCCTCCTGAGCTCTGCTTTCGCTGGCAGAGGGTTGCAGGAGGCTGCCGCAGCTGGAAATGGAGCTCGTGAGCTCGTTTTTGCTAATAGAGCACTCAGACCACCACCCGGCACCCCCAACATGAGTGATGTCGAGCTGGCCACATCCACCCTGGCCACGCCCCCACCCCCAGGCCCACGAGTCAAGCACAACCCTGATGCAGTCCCTCAACAAAATCGAGTTTGACACCGCTGCTCTAGAAAGAGTGCAGAGAAGAGCAACAAAGAGGATTAGGGGACTGGAGGCTAAAACATATGAAGAACGGTTGCAGGAACTGGGTATGTCTTCCCTGTTTCCCCCAAAATGAGACCTCCCCTGATAATAAGCCCAATCAGGCTTTTGAGTGCATGGCAATAAGGCCAAGCACTTATTTCAGGGTTCAAAAAAAATATAAGACAGGGTCTTGTTTTCGGGGATACACGGTAGTTTAATGAAAAGAAGGATTAGGGGTGACATGATAGCAGTCTTCCAGTATCTCAGGGGCTGCCACAAAGAAGAAGGAGTCAAGCTATTTTCTAAAGCACCTCAGGGCAGGAGAAGAAGCAATGGGTGGAAACTAATCAAGGAGAGAAGCAACCTAGAACTAAGGAGGAATTTCCTAAAAGTGAGGACAATTAATCAGTGGAACAACTTGCCTGCAGAAGTTGTTGGTGCTTCATCACTGGAGGTTTTCAAGAAGAGATTGGACAACTATTTGTCTGAAGTAGTTTATAGGGTCTCCTGCTTGGGCAGGGGGTTGGACTAGAAGACCTCCAAGGTCCCTTCCAACTCTCTTGTTCTGTTCTATCCTATCCTATCCTATCCTATCCTATCCTATCCTATCCTATCCTATCCTATCCTATCCTATCCTATCCTATCCTATCTACAACCGTGTTATACAAACTGCAGCGATTTGGCTAACAGCTGGAGCAAGAAAGGTTGTAAAGTGAGGCAAAACTCACGTAACAACTTAGCCACAGAAATTTTGGCTTCAGTTGTGGTCATAAGCGGAGGACTACCTCTCATATGAACAATGGAATTAAAATACCGTTTTTTGGTTTAGTTGTTTAGTTTCGTTTACTTTATTGTCATTGCACATGGTACAACGAAGTTAAATGCCATCTTCAGTGTACAATTAAAACTGTAAAAATAAAAACACAAACATACATCCTTTACATTCTATATAATTTAAATTGAAAACCCCGATATTGTACTATACCGTAGTATTCAATACGGTTATTGTATTTTATACCGTATTATAAAGAAAAAAAAAACCTTATGCCAATGATTTAAAAGTTTGTGTATCTATATTTTTCTTGACTGTACACCGCCTTGAGTCCTACGGGAGAAAGAAATATAATAAATAAATAAATAAATAAATAAATAAATAAATAAATAAATAAATAAATAAATAAATAAATAAATAAATAAACAAATAAATAAATAAACAAATAAACAAACAAATAAACAAATAAATAAATAAATAAATAAATAAATAAATAAATAAATGTAGATTTCTGTTCATGTTCCTTTTTTTTTCCCCCACACGTTGGAGAGGAACCGATGCAACCGAACCATACGTTGCTGGAGCCCCACTCCACAACAACACACGGCCTGCCATGTGCTTTCTTTCTCACGTGTCCACTTTTCTCTCTTTTTTCCCCCCCATTCAGGCATGCTCCTGGTCACAGCAGACACCCTGGGCCACGATTTCCACATCTTCCAAATCCTCACCCACCCCTGGTCATCTTCTCAAAGCGCCGTCCATCATTTGTACACGTTACACCGCGGAGAGACCGAAGCCAAAGTAAGTGGCCGAAGGGCCCGGGGGTGGGGGAAGTGGGGGGAGGAGAAGCAGGAGGCTTCTGTCTCAAATTGGCAAGGCAATCGGTGATTCGTCGTGGGTGTCCGTGAAAACTGCTGGCCTTGCAGTCAAGTCAGAGGAAGGCCACTTAGCAAAGGTTCATATGTTTCTGTAAACGATTCATCTGCTTGTGGTTTTCTTTCTTTTCTTTTTTTCTTTTTTTCTTTTTTTTAAACAAGAGGATAAAAGGCGGCTGAGTTCGATCTTAAATCAAGGAGCCAACAGTTTGCCAAATATTATGAGCCACGGTGGCGCAGTGGTTAGAATGCAGTACTGCAGGCTGCTTCTGCTGACTGCTGACTGTCGGCTGACTGCAGTTTGGCAGTTCGAATCTCACCAGGTCGACTCAGCCTTCCATCCTTTCCGAGGTTGGTCAAATGAGGACCCAGATTGTTGGGGGCAAGAGGCTGACTTTGTAAACCGCTTAGAGAGGGCTGTAAAGCACTGTAAAGAGGTACATAAGTCTAAGTGCTATTGCAGGCAAACTCTGCCCATTGTCAGGAGTTCGATCCTGACTGATTCAGGGTTGACTCAGCCTTCCATCCTTTCCGAGGTCGGTAAAATGAGGACCCAGATTGTTGGGGGAAAGATGCTGACTCTGCAAAACCGCTTAAAAAGGGCTGTAAAGCACTGCGAAGCGGTATATAAGTCTAAGGGCTATTGCTATTATGACCATTGCAGCATCTCCACAGTCACATGACCAAAATTTGGTTGTTTGGCAACTGGCTTGTATTTGTGATGGTTGCAACATCCCAAAGTCATGTGACCTCCATTTGCATCTTTCCTAGCCAGCTTCCAACAAGCAAAGTCAATGGGAGAAGCTGGATTTGCTTAATAACCCTGTGAATCGCTTAACAACTGCAATGATTCGCTTAATAACCATGGCAAAAAAAAGGTTATAAAATCAGACTTGACTCACTTTAACAACTGCCTTGCTTAGCAATGAAAATTCTGGTCCCAATTGTGGTCATAATTCAAGGATTACATACGACCCTTAATAGCATACATACCTTGTACAATGCAATATTGCTGTCGGTACAAAAGTAAGAAGAGATTAAATATTTGAAGGAAAAACATGGAGGGAATAACACAGTTGGAAGGGACCTTGGAGGTCTTCTAGTCCAACCCCCTGCTCAAGCAGGAGACCCTATAACATGTCAGAGAAATGGTTGTCCAATCTCTTCTTGAAAACCTCCAGTGGTGGAGCACCCATAACTTCTAATGGCAAATTGTTCCACTGGTTAATTTTTCTCACTGTCAGAAAATTTCTCCTTATTCTGAGTTGCTTCTCTCCTTGGTTAGTTTCCATCCATTGCTTCTTGTCCTGCCTTCAGGGGCTTTGGAGAAGAGGTTGGCCCCCTCATATTGGTGGCAGCCCCTCAAATATTGGAAGACTGCTATCATGTCACCCCTATTTCCTTAACAGAATAACAGAGTTGGAAGGGACCTTAGAGGTCCTCTAGTCCAACCCACTGTTGTCCAATCTCTTATTGAAAACCTCCAGTGATGTGGAGCACCTACTATTTCTGGTGGCAAGCAGTTCCACCAATTAATTGTTCTCACAGTCAAGAAAATTTCTTCTTGGTTCTAGGTTGCTTCTGTCCTTGATTAGTTTCCGTCCGTTCCTTCTTCTTCTCCCTTCCGGTGCTTTGGAGACTAGATGGACCCCCCCCCTCTTCTTTGTGAAACCCCCTCAAATATTGGAAGACTGCTATCATGCCACTCCTAGTTCTGCTGTCATCCCTTACTGATGGTGTCATACATTGCAATCTGTACAAACCACTCTGTGGGAGTTAAACCACACTGGGATTGTGTTAATTTCACTTCTGAACATTGCACTTCCGAAGTGCACTAATACTTTCCTCTTGGCTATAAACCAGCTCCGAGTCTCCTTAGACTTCTCACGTTCTCCCTCACCCCCCCCTTGAGTTGGAATTTTAACTCCCATAACCTGTGGGCAGCACAATGTTTGACCAGCTGAAAGGAGGCTGGTAATAACTTAAAGCTGTACAGAAGAGCCTTTTGTTTCAGAATTCAGTCCTAAAATACCCACTTGGGGAGGTTGAAAGCATTTCATGCTTTATTATATAAGATTTTTATTTCTTTTTGCTGTTTACAAGCTGCTGATCAAGATAATCCTCCGATAGGATAGGATAGAATATAGAATAGAATAAAATATAGAATATAGTTGTATATGGAAGGGAACGGAACAGAATGGAACATAACAGAACAGAAGGTAGGGTAGGGTAGGGTAGGAAAGGACAGGACAGGACAGAATAGTGGACAGGACAGAACAGAACAGAACAGAACAGAAGGTAGGGTAGGGTAGGGCAGGGCAGGGCAGGGCAGCACAGGACAGAACAGAACAGAACAGAACAGAACAGAACAGAACAGAGGACAGAACAGAACAGCACAGCACAGGAGTAGGATAGGGTAGGGTAGAGTAGAGTTAGAGTTAGAGTTAGTTAGAGTTAGAGTTAGAGTTAGAGTTGAGTTGAGTTGAGTTGAGTAGAGTTGAGTAGAATCTGAATTGGAATAGGAATAGGAATAGAATACAGTTGGAAGGGACCTTGTAGGTCATCCAGTCCAACCCCCTGTTCAAGCAGGAGACCCTACACCATTTCTGACAGGTGGCTGTCCAGTCTCTTCTCGAAAGCCTCCGATGATGGAGCACCCACGACTTCTGAAGTTTTGTTATATTATTATATTCTGATTTCCTTCTGGGGGAATGTGCAAGTAAATAAAGATATAATCCTGTAAAGTCACAATTAAAACAAGGAGACAAGAGCAATAAAAGTCAGCCGTGAGAACCCCCCTCACAGTCAAAACAAAAGAAAGCAGAAACCAAAAACAGAACGATAAGAGGGTTTTTTAAAGCTCTGAAGTGAGGTACAAAATCCCAGAAGGAAGATCATTGATGTAGTAGGTAACGTAGAACCAAGTCTTCGACCTTCAGATTGTCTCCCTACTTAAGAAAGACTGTATATTACATGTTCAACTTTGGGTGAATTGGCATTTGAAAATGCCAATGGAAGAGAATACTTGTAGCTCTGGGCTTTCCGTGCTTGGTTGATTTCTTGCAGATCTTTCATTACCCAACTAGGTAACATCATCAGTCTAGAAGGGAAGATATGTTTACGTTCTGTTTATATTCAATTGGCTCGTCCTGCCAGTGTTAATGGCGGTGATCTTGGTGGTTTCTTGACCAGACTGATATTTACTGTTAGATCGTTTGTCCTATGGAGATTCCCAGTCATCCAGGACATGGTTGTCCAAAGGTGCTTTTTTTCAAGAGGCCACTGGAATATCTGGGGTTTTTTTTGAAGACATTTCGCTTCAGACATGGGCTACCAATATAATAATTTTAAATTGGGGTATTTTAAATTTCTGGGATTTTAATTTGAGCCTAATCTTTTTAATGATTTTAAATTTTAATCGTTGTTTTGTTTTGTGTTTTTAAATAGGCTGTACACCGCCCTGAGTCCTTCGGGAGAAGGGCGGTATAGAAATAAAATTATTATTATTATTATTATTATTATTATTATTATTATTATTATTATTATTATTATTATTATTATTATTATCATCCAAGGAGCTTCTTCAGCTCTGACAGGATGGTGGGGAACGGAAGGATTTATATTTCTTGCAAGTGGCTAGTCATTTGCATCCTTTTAGAGAGTCTTGGAGGCCGCTTGGAGGTTTGTCTCTGTCCTCAGAGTCACCTGAGTGGTGCAAATGGATGTGGAGCCTTCTTGGCTGCAGGTTGTTTGCAGACTACAGGAACCATTCGTGCTTCAGTTTGAGATGCAGACCATACAGACTCATCCCCAACAGCCTGCGCCTGTCACAAGGGGCAGAAGGCAGAAATCATCCTGCAGCCAAGAAGGCTCCATCCCCATTTGCACCACTCAGGTGACCCTGAGGGACACAGACAAACCTCCAAGCAGCCTCAACGACTCTCTAAAAAGAATGCAAATGACCAGCTGTCTTCAAGGAGTATACATCCTTCCATTCCTCCACCCTCCAGTCAGAGCTGAAGAAGCTCCTTGGATGAGAAGTGAAACGTCTTCCAAGAAAAACCAGAAAGTCCAGTTGCTTCTTTAAAAAGTTGCCCCTTGGGTGTTAGCTTGCTTATCTGAGTTGATAGTTCCTTGATTGAGATGCATTTACTTCTTGATAGTTTATTAGTTTGATTTTGATTTATTATTTATTAGTTTGATTTATATGCCGCCAGGGTGGATTTGATTTAAATCGAGTTGATTTAAATCACAATTTAAATCATGATTTAAATCACTAGTAAAAAGGCTTGATTTAAATCAACTCGATTTAAGTAATAATTTTTAAAGAGCAACTGTCATCTCTGCTACTCCTTTGACCCATTGTTGACTCACCGATAGTCCCAGTGTTGCAGAATATACAGCCTCATGCTACATAACTAAGCTCCGTTTCATGCTGAATAAACTAAATTATTTATGTATCTTAAATAGAAAACTAGCTTAAGATAGATTTTTACCCCAAAAGTTTTTTATTAAAATAAATTTGATAAAAATCAAAAAAATCCGATTTAAATAAAAAAAAATCCGATTTAAATAAAAAAAAATCTTGATTTTTATCCACCCTGTATGTCGCCCTTCTCTGGAGACTCAGGGTGGCTTACAATGCGTTAAGCAATAGCCTTCATACTTTTGTATATACCTGCCCCCCCCCCAGCGGTGTTCTTTTTTATACAAAATCAGCTTATTGACCCCACATTCCGGGTTCTCATTTTACCTACCTCGAAAGGATGGAAGGCTGAGTCAACCTTGAGCCTGGTGAGATTTGAACTCTCACTAATTGCAGGCAGCTGGCAGCTAAATACTACTTTAACAGTAGTTTAGTTCACTGCACCACCAGGCTCCTGTTGGTGTAGTAGTAATCTGGTTGTTAATCTCTGTTTATCTGGG